TATCTAGTGGCTTAACCTCCACAGGAAACATTTGATATTGGGAATTCAATGGGAAGTGTGGATGTCAACTTTTCATTCTATCATTTGTTAGTGCAACATATAGGAGCATTCTTGAGTGTGATTCCAAATCAAGTGTTTGTTTTCGGGTGGTGGATCTTCATAAGAAGGTGAAAGATTCTAATGTGTCAACTCTTCAATAATTTGTTCTCTAACATTGCTGTAGAAATTCGGTCTGTTTTCCAGCATATAGAGGGTGCACTTTATGGAGCAGATTATTGCTTATAGTATTCTGCTTCATAACCTCCTGGGGACACCAGCTTATTGGAGCAGAAAAATACATGCTAAATTTTAGTGTGGTTATCCCTCCAGGAAATGTGGAAGATAGCTGTCGGTCTGTAATCCACTTGAACAGATGATGTATGAACGGTATCTGGAGCAGAGGAAATGCACTTCTGTATTTGTGTATATCTCTACCAGAGATACATTAGGTATTTGTCAAAATCACCTTAAATCTGTCCTGTGTTCCAGATCCTTCAGTCAATAGAGAAAACCTGTACTTATCCACTCCGTCTAGATCATTAGTGGGTTTGAATATACTTTTCAACTGTACTCTCAAAATTCCCTTTTCCATGAAGAACAACTTCTCCACATTGTCCATATAAGGGAGGGCTTTGATCCCTCAATGTTGTAGTATATACACTCTCTGGGGGGATTCACATTCATCATTAAAACATGATGCCTAAATTGGACTCTGTACCCCAATTCAACTGAATCACATTTTTAAAGAGAGTGTAACTTCCTTGCACTGCATTCCATTTCATGATTTATAAAGCCCAGGACTGTCTTTGTAAACCAACTTCTTGACTTTTTTGTGCAACTTCTAATTTGTGGCATGTATCCCCAGGTTGTGTTGTTTTGTTCTGTACTCCTGCTGGGAATGTCTCTTCAGCTTGTATTATCCCTCCTTCTCCCAAAATGTATCATTTCGTGCAGTCTGCATTAAATTGCATCTGCCATGTGTCTGCTCATTTCATCAGCCTTTCTGTGGCTTCTTGAAGCCTATCTCCATCCTGTTCCCAGTTCACATCTCTTTCAAGTTTTTATTCTGTAAAGGTCAAAGTTTTGCGGTGGTTTTAAAGTACTGATCACTGGAACCTGTTTATCACTATGTACCTTCAGTTGGAAAGTTGGCATTGCCATTCAGAAGTGTAAGACAAAAGTTAGTACAGTGAGTATTTGCCAATACTCTTGCAATCTGGAATGATGCTGAGAGGTAGGCACCGCAGAGACAGTAAGCAAACTGACGATGGCATGACCACACGGATCTATTCAAGTGGGTGGAGGAAGCCGGAAGGTAGAAATGGTCGGGGGGCAGTATAGTTAGGGGGAAGGATATTGTTCACAGCATCTGAGAGTGGACCTTGAAGTCTGTATAGTTTGCCTGATGCCAAGTTTAAGGACGTCTCAGTCTGGAGAGGAACTTAGAAGTGGAAGGGGTCCAGTTGTCACTGCCGCAGAACAATAATAGAACGAGAAAGGAGATTCTGCTGAAAGAGTTTGTGAAAGGTAAGACCTGAATTAAAGTGCAAAACATATTAGGTAATCATCTCAAAATTAAAATAAAACAATGAACTGTGGATGCTAGAGATTGGAAACGCAAACAGAAATTGAAGAAGAAACTTAGAAGATCTGGTAGCATTTGTGGGAAGAAAGCAGAGTTAACGTTGAGAGTCTGTTGACTCCTCTTCGGAGCAGTTAAGTTTTTTTTTGGTAATCTCAAGATTGCTGCCTGATCCAATGGCAGACTGACACAGGGTAAATAAAATCAACAAATTAAAAGAATGGCTCAGAGATTGGTGTGACTAGAATGGCTTTCAGCTCATGGCACACAGTGGAGTAGAAAGTAGCTGGTTTAAGAGGATGGGTTTCACTTGAATGCTGTTGGTGCAGGTGTCCTGGCATATCAAATAACTTGAATTGTACAGATCCTTTAAACTAACCAGAGGCGGGGATAGAGTTTGGGAGGGAATAACATTGGCTTCAAAGCAAAAGGATACAGCAGGATTGTGGGGCAGCTATTTTGGAAAATGATACCCATTCTTGAACAGAAGTGACAGAGTACAAACACAGCAGATACTTTCAAAGGGGAGGATAAATGATTTTAAAAAAAACGTATTTTGGCACTTTACGCATAGTATTTGGAACAAAGTAAATTCAAGGCAGAAATGGAAGTCAGTGGGTATGGTCGTCTCACTATTTTGATGACATGGTTACAAGAAAATCAAAGCTGGGAACTAAATATTCAGAGGTATGTGAAATTTTCAAATGATTTTCGAAATGATGGGCTGGAAGGAAAGGGTGGTGGGGGTAGCTTGTTAATGCTTGATGGAATAGGAATGATAGCAAGGAATGATCTTCAATCAAATGACTTTAGAATTCACATGAGTGGAGATTTTAAAAAAAGACTAACAGTGAGACGAAGGCACTGGTGGGAATAGTCAACAGGCTTTTTAGCATTAGCTATACTGTAGGACAGAGAATAAATTGGAGCTTTTTAAAAAGGCAATAGGTTAATCATCATTGGCTTTCATCTTCATGTTGATTGGGAAAATGAAATTGGCAGAAGTAGTCACAAGGAAGAATTCATAGAATGTGCTCGTGGCAATTTCCTAGAACAATATGCTGTCAATCAAATCAGGGATCAGGTTATTTTGGGATCTGGTAATGTGTAATGAGGCAAGTTTACTAAATGATCTCGGAGTAAAAGATCCCCTAGGAAGCAGTGACCATAACATGATAGAATTTAACATTCGATTTGAGAGCAGTAAACTTGGTTTGGAAACAACTGTTCTGAACTTAAATAATTGTAAATTAGGTAGGGGTGAGGGCTTAGTTAGCTAGGGTTGATGGGGAAAGCTTAACAGAGAAGACAGTTGATAAACAATGGTAGAAATTTAAAAAGTTAGTTCATGATTCGCACCAAAGATACATCCCAGTAAGGAAGAAGGATTCTAGGAAGAAGATAAACCATGCATGGTTAACCAAGGAACTTAAGGATAGTATCAAATTGAAAGAAGAAAAAGTCATATGATGTGATCAAGATTGGTTGTAAATCAGAGGATTAGCAAAGTTCTATAAACCAAGCAAAGATGGCTACGGCAAGGCTTGGGAAATGATAATGGGGAACCAGGCAAAGGCAGAAGAGTTGGAAAAAATGCTTTGTATCTGTTTTCCTGGTAGACTACATAAAGTGCCTCAACTAAAAGACGAAAGAGGGAAAAGAAGTAAAGACAATAATTATTACGAGAGAAAAAGTGCTGGGGAAACTAATGGGTCTAAAGGCCAGTTAAGTTGCTAAGATCTGATGGATTGGTTTCTCGGATTTTAAAGAAAGGGGCTACAGAGATGGTAGATACACTGTATTATTCCAAGAATTCTTAGATTCTGGAGAAGCCCCAGAGGATTAGAAACTGCCAGTGGAACACCCTTATTCGAAAAGGGAAGGAGACAAAAATAAAAGAGGTGACTATAGGCCAAATATCTTTACATCTGTCATGGGGAAAAATGTTAGAGCCAATTATAGAGAATTAAAAGCAGAGAATTGAGAAATACATAATATAATCAAGCAGTCAGTACAACTTTGTGAAGTGGAAATCATGTCTGGCAAATTCATTAGAATTTTTTGAGGAAAGAAGCAGGTTAGATAAAGGGAAAGCAGTAGATATATTATGTTTGGATTTCCAAAAATTATCTGATACGGTACTGCACATAAGACTACTTTATAAGATAAGGGTCCATGGCATTGGGATAGTATATTAGCATGAATGGAGGATTAGCTAACTGAGATTTGGGATGGGGGCAGCTGCATTTTCAGGCTGCCACCTGTAGGTAGTGGAGTGCCATAGGATTCAGTACTGGGGTCACAATTATTTACCATTTATATTCATGACTTTGAAGGAGGGAAGTGAATGTACTAGGGCCAAGTTTGCATATGACACAAAAATAGTTGGGAATGCCAGTAGTAAGCATGACAGAGTCTGCAGAGCGATATAGGCAGGTTAAATGCGTGAGTGAAAACTTGGCAGATGGAATGTAATGTGGGAAAATATTGGCAGCATTTTGGCAGTAAGAATAGAGGAGTTGATTATTACTTAGACAGAGCTACAGCACAGGAATTTGGATGTCCTCGTGCATGAATCGCAAAAAGTCAGTATCAAAGTTGAGCAGTTGATAGAGAAGACAAATGGAATGTTGGCCTTTTTTCAAAGGGAAAAGAGTATGAAAATATCGGGTGGTGGTGGTCTTTCAAAAGCTATACAAGACAGTAGTTAGACTATACCTAGATTACTTTGGACAATTTTGGTCCCCTTATCTAATGAAAGATGTACTACGTAGGAAGCAGTGTGGAGAATGTTCACTACATTGATCCCGGGTGTGTATGGACTATGTTATGAAGAGAGGATGAGTAGATTGGTCCATTCCTCATCAGAGTTTAGATGAATGAGAGGAGACCTTACTGAACAATTCCCAGGTAGATTTCTTAGGGGCAAAGTAGTTGCAGAGACATTGTTTTTCCTTGTCGGAGACTATAGAACCGCAGGGCTTAACCTCCCAGTAATGGGGTTGTCAGTAAAGACAGATAAGAAATTCTTCTTTGAGTATATCTGATGACTTCTTTACCACAGAGGGCTTTTCAGGCTGAGTCATTAAGTATGTTTAAGGCTGAGGTACAGATTTTTAATCAGTAAGCAAATTTAGGGTTATTAACCAATTATATGGGATTAATTACTTGATAGTGAAAGTGCCCTTGGGTACAGTGACCATAATATGATTTAATTTTGCATGCAGTTTGAGAGATAAGTGTGGGTCCAAGACTACAACTTTGAATTTCAACAAAGACAGTGACGAGGGTGCGAAAACAGTTTGTGAAAGTGAACTGGCTATTCAGGCTAAAGAAAAGGTCAGTAGCAATGCAGTGGCAAACATATAATGGGACATACCTGAAAGTACGGAATAAATACATTCCAACAAATATGAAAGATTCTAAAAGTGGACCCACTATCCGTGGGTAACTAAAAAAGTCAAAGATAGTATCATACTCAAAGATAAGACATAGAATTCTGCAAAGATAGGTGGCAGATCAGACGATTGGACAGGATATTGAAAAAAACTGCAAAGAATTATGAAAAGGTTGATAAGGAGGGAACAAGTAGAGTATGGGAGAAAGAGTTAGCCAAAAATGTAAAAACAGATATGAAAAGTTTATTTAGATACTCAAAAAGAAAAGATTTAACAGAGTAAGTATTAATTGTATTGAAAATTAGTCTGTGCAATTAGTACTGGAGGATAAAGAGATGTCAGATGTTTTGTGCTGGTTTTCACTAGAGAGGATATAAATGGTGTCCTGGAAATAGCTGTAAATCAGAAATTGAAAGGGAGGGAGAGAAATACAATTACCAAGGTGGTACTGTCTAAATTGTTGGAATTATAAGTTGACAAGTCCCAGATCCTGATGGATTTCATCCTAGCATTTTAAAAAGTAGCCACTGAAAAGTTGATGTCTTGGTGTTAGTTTTCCAAAACTCCATTAGATTCAGGGAAGATTCCTTTAGATTGGAAGATAGTTAATTTAACCCCTTTATTCAAAAATGGAGGGAGACAGAAAGCAGAAAACTACATACAAGTTAGCTTAACATCTGTCATAGGGAAAATGTTAGAAGCTATTATTGAAGACATTATAACAGGGCACTTTGTTTCATTCAAGGTAATCAGGTATAGCCAGCAAGGTTTTATCAAAGAGAAATCATGTTTACCTCATTTTATTGGAGTTCTTTGAAGAAGCAAGTTGTGCTCAAGATAAAGGGGAATCTGAGAATGTATTGTGTTTAGATTTCCAGAAAGCATTTGATAAGGTGCTCCGTCAAAGATTATTGCAGAAAATAGAAACTCATAGTGTAAGGAGTAATTAATATTGGTAGAGACAGAAGATTGGCATGCTTACAGGAAGCAGAGAATAGAAATAAGTGGATCTTAAGTCTGGCAGGATGGCCTGAGTGGTATGCTACCGGGTCAGTGCAAGGGACTCAACTCTTTATGATTTATATAAATGATTTAGATGAAGGAATCAGGGGTATGATAAATTTGCTGATGGCATAGAGATAGGAAACTAAGTCATAAGCCTACAAAGGGATGTAGTCAGGTTATGTGAATGCAAGGTCTGGCAAATAGAATACAACGTAGAAAAGTGTGAAATTGTCCATTTTGGTAGACAAAGTAAAAAATTCATTATTTATATGGTTAGAGGTTACAAAACTCATAGATGCAGAGAGGTCTGGATGCCCTTGTACATGAATCACAGACTGTTAATATGTGGGTACAGCAAGTAGTCAGGATAGCTAATAGAATGCAGTGGAAAACTAACAGAATGCTATGTTTTTTTTGCAAGGGAGATTGAATGTAAGAGTAGGCAGTTTATGTTTCAGTAATAGTGTTTTAGTGAGACAGCATCTGGACTACCATGTACAGAACTGTTCACTGCACGGGAAAGGATGTTAATGCGTTGAAAACAGTTTAAAGGAGGTTTGCTGGGCTAATACCTGGAATGAGTGGTTTGCCTTATGAGGAAAGGCTAGACAGCTTAGGCCTGTATCCTCTGGAGTTTGGAAGAGTTAGCTGTGATTTAATTGAAACATGTAAGGCCCTAAGGGGACTTGGCCAACTGGATGTTGAAAGGATGTTTTGTCTTTTTGGAGAATCTAGAACTAATGGCCATAGTTTGACAATAAGGAGGTGCCTATTTAAAACAGTTGAGGAATTTTTCCTCTCAAAGGGTCGACAGTATTTGGAATTCCCTTCCTCAAAAGGCAAGGTGACCTTACAGCAAAGCAGGATCAAAGGTCACTGTGGCTTACTTTTGTTCCTTGATTGTAAGGGGATAAGGCAGAAAGTGGAGGTGAATATTACTTGATTGGCCATGATCTTATTGAATGAAAGAGCAGGCTCAGAACAAATGGCCTGCTTCTGCCCCTATGTCTATTCATCTTTTCAAAAAATAGTAATTCTGTATTTGATAGGAACAGGCTAAGAATGACTGAGAGATTAAAAAGACATGATTACTTTGCATGTGTATAGACACACAGTGTGGTGAGTAAAGTTGGAGAGCTACAAGCGCACATACCCATCTGGGAATAGGATGTAGTGATAACCAAAACGTTGCTTCATGCTGAGAAGTGGGCACTCCAAGAGTATATAGTGTTCAGAAAGGTTAGGGAAGGAATAATTGGAGGTGGGGTAGTGTTCCTGATGAGGAAAAATATTGTTGTATTGGTAAGTGGTGATGTCCTTGAGCAAGGATAGAGTTTGGTTAGAATTGAGAGGCAATAAGGGTATGATTTGTCTACTGCATGTATTCTATATATTTGAAAATAGTGAGAGAGACAGGAGCAAATCTGCAAGAAAATCAGATGTAACAGAGTTGTCAAGTTGTGATGTTGACAGACTTTTAATTGCTCAAATATAGATTAGCATAGAGGAAATGATAAGTAGGGGCAGGAATTTCTCAATTTGGTTTGGGAGAACATCCTTGATCAGTATGTTCTTGGTTAATGAGCATGAGGGCAGTGCTGTATCTTAAGCTGTGGAATCAGGTGGTCCAAGTTGACTATGTGTCTGTGAGGAATGCTTGGCTAAGAGTGATCATTGTATAATAAGGTTTGGTATTGTAATCAGAAAAGCTAGAACCTAAGTAAATTGGAATTTCTATGTCTTCATTTCACTGTAATGAGAAGGAATGTAACTAGAGTGAAATGGAGCTGATGATTGCTAGGGAGAACTAACAAATGATAGGTCATCTTTTTAAAAACAATATATTTCAGATACAAACCAAAAGAACTGCGGATGCTGTAAATCAGGAACAAAAACAAAGTTGCTGGAAAAGCTCAGAAGGTCTGGCAGCATCTGTGGAGGAGAAAACAGAGTTAACATTTTGGGTCCGGTGACCCTTCCTCAGAACTATTTCAGATACAGTCAAGGTACATTCCAACAAAGGTGAAAGGTAGCAGAAACAAAACTAGTGCTGCTTGAAAAATAATGATGATAGGGAATATGAAGAAACTGTACAGAGAATGTATAACGCATCTCTGGTGCAACTTCAAGTAGGAATTAGATCAAATGTGACAGGTTAAGAGGGATAGTGAACATAAAAATATGGTTGGTAAACAGTTTGAGAATGGAATGGAATTTGAGATAAAAAGGAACACAATTTTTAAGTGGCATCTAAATAGTCAGCAGGTTATAAGAGGTGAAATGAGTTCTATTAGCAACAAAGATGCTAATGTATGCTTAAAGGTACAAGGCAGGGTTAGAATACTTAATTAGTAGTTTGTACTGGTGCTCCCTGAGGAAAAGGAATTTGACCAAACATCAATAGGATCGGAAATGGTAGAAGTAATGGATAAGGTGTATGGTATATTAAGGAGGCCACTGGAAAAGCTTAGTGGATAAGTTACATGATGTGGATACCTTGCATCCCAGATTCTTGGAAAAAAAATGTAAGGATGAAGATCGGTAAAGACTTGCCAAAATCTTTGTCTTCCCTCATAATGGTCAAAGTGCCAGAGCAATGACACGTGGTACACTTATTCCAGAAAGAATAGGAACACAGGCACAAGAGTAGGTTAGTTAGCCCCTTGAGCCTATTCCACCATTCAATGAGATCACGGCTGGTCTGTGGACTAACTGCAAATACCTGCCTTTGTCTCTTCATACCTTTGCTTAACAAAATTATCTGTCTCGGATTTAAAATTAACAACAGATCTAAAATCAACAGCTGTTTGCAGAATAGAGTTGCAAGCACCTACCACCCTTTGTGTGTAGAAGTGCTTCCTAAATCTTGCCTGAACGATTCTGGGTGTAATTCTGAGACCATGCCCCCTAGTTTTAGAATCCCCAACCAGTGGAAATGCTGTTAAGACTTTGATCAGATCACCCCTTAACCTTCTAAATTGTGGATAAAACAGGCCTAATTCGTATAATCTCGCCTTATAACTTAAACGCTGAAGTCCAGGTATCATTCTTGTAAACCCACATTGTGTACTCCTTCCAAGGCCAATATATCTTTCCTAAGGTGTAGAGCCCAGAAACGCTCAAAGACTCCACGTGAGGTCTAACCAGGGTTTTGTGTACCTGCAGCAAACTTCTGTGTCCTTATGTTTCAATCCTGTAGATGTAAAGGCAGGCATTCCATTAGTTTTCTTGATTTTTTTTAATATAATATTTGTTTCCATAATTCTACTCAACGTTAAGTGCTGCTTAAGGGTGCAGATTTAAGGGTTTGTCAACAGATTCAGGGAACATGAGGAAAATACGTTTCTTGATCTAGAATGTGCTGGCAGCAAGTACAATGGAAGCAGAGACAAAGTTGAATGAGAATTTGAAAGAATAAACTTGCAGGGCTGCAGAGATGGTGCAGGTGAATGGGACAAACTCGTTTCTCCAAATAAAGCTAGCATGGACTCTGAGCTGCAATACTTCCTCTTGTGCCACAGTGACTGTTATGATTTTACAACTCTGTAACTTTTCATATTCTCAGTATCTTCTCTCCGTTCAGACCTTAACTCTTTGGGTTCCAGGGAATAAAAATGTACTTACCATGGTTTCTGCATGACTCCGGTCAAGATTTTTTAATTGTAATCCATTACTTAGAAGAAGACCACTATCAATGTCTATCTCTCTGTCCATGAAATGCTTTCCAGCATGAGCCTCCACAGTTGCTGTTGCTAGGGTGTTCCTTTGCAATATTGTCATGCAGTTGTAGGTTAGTATGAAATAGTGCCATTAAATTATCTCTGGTACAACACTTAATTGGTCATTCTATTTCTTTTCCTCTATGCATTGTTGTCTTAGTCTCTTCCCATTCCTTTTATTCTGTTCCCTTTTAAACGTTGTCATCTGTAATATCTTGTAGTTCTACCTAAGGGTTTATACTCAAACATTGACTTTTGTTTTCCCCACAGATGTCTGACTAAAAGTTTCTAAAATTATTCTTTTTATTGGGCATTTTTTTGTTCCATTTGATAACTTGTGCAGCTTCTACAACAGGGCTTTCTAAAATGATGGTAGGAATCCACAGTGGCGCCACAAGCTGGAATTTTGTGATCACAGAGTTGCCCCAACACCCCTCGCTCCAATTTCACAAAGGGGTTCTAACAATTTTTGTGCCTTGAAGTAGTGTTACAGTGGGGAAGTCATTGAGAAATGCTGTTCCACAAGGACTACTGTTTTTAATTCAGCTTCTTTCAAGGCTGAAAATGGATTTTCCGAAGTTTCCTTGTATAAATTCCATTGATATCAAATACCAACTTCACAACCTTCTGTTTACTCGTTGGTGGGTTTGGAGAGTTACCTTGTATCTTCGTAATCAAACCTGACCACCATTTTTGAGATGTGATCTGAGTAGAGTTTGTGATGTTTTCAAGTCATTGTCTCATTCTTGCAATTTTCTGATGTGTTGCTGCAGCTCAGTCTGCTTGTTTTGTTTTTGTTGTTTGATATTAATTTGACATGCTTAAAGATGAGTCTCATAACTTGCTAATATCTTTGTCTCTCGTACCTACTTTAACAATATTCTTTTAGTTTACCAATTTTATTTATTCCAATGCTGAATGTTTTGAATTTGCCTGCATTGAATTTAACCTTCACCTGTTTAAGGGAAACAACACTAGTCTATCCGATCCTTCCTCATAACTGCAATTGTCAAATCCTGGCAACATTCTTGTATGTTTCCTCTCTGTAAAGTAGTTATGTCCTTGCTGCAAATGTGGATACCAGATTGGTACACAATTCCCACCCGTGGCCTAATCATTCTCTTGTGTAGTTCCAGAACTATATCCTGCTGTTCTATTCAGTTCCTCACCCAGTGATGAAAACATCTAATCCATCTTTGCCACTGAATCTATCTGTCCTGACACTTCCAGGAACCTGTGGACATACATTTACAAGGTTTCTCAGTTCCTCGACATCTCAGTATTGTTCTGTTTATTGTGTATTCCCTTGCTTTGTTAGTCCTCACCAAATGCATCAGTTCACACTTATCAGAATTGAATTCCATTTGCAACTTTTCCACTCACTCAGCCAAACAGTTGATATCTTCCTCCAGTTGACAGCAGTCCTCTTCCACTTGTTAACAACCTTGCCAATATTTGTGTTGTCTGCAAATTTCTCAGTCATACCTGTCATATTGAAGCCCAAGTCATTAATGTAAGCCACAAACAGCACTAAATAAATCATTAATTTGTGGAACACGACTAGAAATGGCTTTCCATTCGCAAAATCAGCTGTGGACCATTACCCTCTGTTCCTGTCATTGAACGAATTCTGGATTCAGTTTGTGACATTCCCTTCAAGCACATGGGCTTTAATTTTTTTCTTAAGTTTGCCATATAGGTTGTTGTCACATCCTTTACTAAAATCCACGCAGAGAACATTCACTATTTTACCCACACCTCATCATCTTTGCTACATCCTCAAAAAAATCAATTAAGTTAGTCAGGCATGACCTTCACAAAACAAAACCACACTGGCTATCTCTGATCAGTTGTACCTTTCCAAGTAACAGCTAATCCTGTCTCAGTCTTGATTCTCATAATTTGCCCACCACCAAAGTCGGGCTGACCGACCGATAATTATTTGGTCTTTTCCTTGCACCTGTTTGATGATTTGCAAACCTCCCATTCTTTGCAACGTCACCTGTATCTAGCAAGGATTGGAAAATTGTTCCTCAGAGCATCTGCTATTTCCTCCTCAGCTTCCTTTAGCAGTCTAAAATGCGATTAGTCTGGCCCTGGTGATTTATCCACCTTTGAAGGCATTTGGTCCTTCCTGTTCTTCCCTTTATGTTATGCTTATTTTATATAATATTTCACACTCCTCTTTAACTAAAATGTTGGCACCATCTCTGTTTTGTGACGACAGAGATCAGGTACTCATTAAGCATCCTGCCCACATCTTCTGCATCCAATAAAATGAAACGGGAAAGGTAAACTTACCATGGCTGACAAGAGAAATTAGGCGTAGTATTTGATCCAAGGACAGGGCATACAAGTTGTACAAAACAGCAGATCTGAGGGTTGGGAGCAGTTGAGCAAAGGAGGGCAAAGGGCATGATTAAGAGGAGAAAAAATAAACTGAGAATAAGGTTGCAGTAAATGTACAACTGTTTGTAAAAGATTCTAAAAGGTATGTGAAGAGGAAATGATTAGTGAAGGTCAAATCTACGTCCCTTACATTTAGAAACAGGGTAGCTTATAAGTGGAGCAAAGAGTTGGCAGATCAATTCAGTATGTATTTTGGTTCTGCTTTCCAAAAAATGCAAATAATGTCCCAAAAATGTTAGGAAACACAATCTAGCAGGATGGAGAAACTGAAGGAAATCAATATTAGTGAGAAAATGGTGTTGAGGAAATTTGATGGGATTAAAGGCCCAGAGGCCGATAATCAACATCCCAGAGTACATAAGCAAGTGTCCCGCAAAATAATGAATGCATTGGTAGTCATCTTTCAAATTTCTATAGACACTGGGGGGCAGTTCCTATTGATTGGAAGATAGCCAATGTAACCCCAATATTTAAAAAAGAAGGTAGAGAGAAAGCAGCAAATTGTAGGCTGGTTAGCCTGACATTGGTAGTAGGGGAAATTCTAGATTCCATTAAAAAGATTTGAAAGCAGAGCTTGGAAAAGTGATAGGATCAGACAGAGTCAGCGTTGATATATGAATGGAAAATCATGGTTGACAAATCTACTGAAATTTTTCGAGGATGTTACTAACAGAGTTGATAAGGAGGAGCCAGTGCACATGGTTTACTTTGACCTTTTCAGTAAGGTCCTACATTAGATTAACATGTGAAACAGAAGTGCATGAGTTTGGGGTAATGTACTGATGTGGCTAGAGAAATGGTTGGCGGACAGGAGACAAAATAGGAATAAATGAGTCTTTTTCCAAGTGGCAGCCAGTAGCTAGTTGACACAATGGGGATCAGTACTTGGACCCCAGCTATTCACATAGATGAATAATTTAGATGAAGGAACTAAATGTAATATCTACAAGCTTGTAGATGGCTCAAAGCTGGGTGGAAGGGTGAACTGTGAGTAGCATGCATAGATACTCCATTGTGATTTGGCAAATTGAATGAGTGGGCAAATGCATAATAGATGAAGCACAATGTGGGTAAATGGGAGGTTATCCATTTTGGTATCAAAAACAGGAATGTAGATTTTCATCTGAATGGCAATAGATTGGGGTGTGGGGAGGTGCAACGAGCCCTGGGTGCCCTTCTACAATAATTGCTGAAAGTAAGCACGTAGGTACAGCAGGTGGTATAGAAGGCAAATGGTAAAGCGAGAGAATTCAAGTATAGGAGCAGGGGTGTCTTGCTGCAGTTGTACAGGCACTTGGGACCACACCTGGAGAATTGTGTGCTGTTTTGGTGTCCTTATCTGAGGAATGATTTTCTGGCTATGGAGGGACTGATTCCCGGGATGGCAGAATTGACATATGAAGAGAGGTTTGATTTGGTTATATTCACTAGACTTTGGAAGAATCAGGTGGGTTCCTTTACAAATCCGTAAAATTCTCACAGACTAGATAGATAAACACAGGGAAGAATGTTCCTGGTGACTGCAAATTTGAGAGTCAGGGATATAGTTAGGATGAGATGAGGAGAAATTTCTTCTCGGCGTGATGAGTCTGTGGAATTCGGTGGCAGAGAAAGCAGTTAAGGCCAAATTATTGAATGTTTTCAAGGAGGAATTAAATATAATTCACGGTGCTAAAGGGATCTTGGGGTGTGGGGTGAAAGTGAAAACAGCTTACTGAGTTGCATCGTCAGCCATGATTATATTGAATGGTGGGTAAGGCCCAAAGTGCCAAATGGCCTATTTATGCTCCGATTTTCCTGTTTGTTGGTGGCATCCGTTCTGTGACCGAATTCTGACCTGCTGTACTTAGAGGGAAATTGTTCATATTATCTATTTCTCAGCTAATCCCCGATGAGTGCATCTGGCAAAGTGAATTCATGTATGTCTCTGGCATTTTAAAATATTTTTTAGAAAGCCTCTTTTACCTTCGATTTCTTAAAACACACCAAAAATTTGCACCTTACCATAAATTAGAGAATAAATGTGTTATGATAAGTCCTTGTGACTGTTGATAAATATCACCACTGCTGTTAACTGCCATCTGGCTTATTTTAAGATTTGGGCATTTATCTTCCAAATAAATATCTTTTCAAGACTGTAACTCAAGTTTCAGGTCAACTGTCTGGAAACCTAACCCTCGCCTTCTATCACCTGGAACACAGGAGTAAATAAGTCTTGCAGTTCACATAGTAGAAGGGTAAAATCATCAGAAAGCGCAATGAAATTAAAAATGGTGAAGATATTGGCGCTTGGAAAAATGTGGAGAGTTCCGTTAATTTCCAGTTTTGTTCCTGAATATAAATTAACTTATTTTCACTTATGTCAAGTGGAGAATTCTTGAGATTTTCAGTTAAAATTTCATTGTACGATGTGCTCATTGTAACGTGTAAACTGAGTCACAATTTTAGCCAGCCTTTTGGGATATAACTGTGTGATTAAAGTGATTGTCCAGAATTACAACTAACCTGTG